TGTAGCGAAAGCTTGGGACATGAAATCGTCACCATAAGCTCAACGTAACATAAGTAACACTATTTGACACGTGTCCGACGTTTACATAACAGTAAACTAATGGAGCCAATATCTTTAGGGCTTCATGCCAACACTAAACCATCCATAATACTGCTTGTAATGAAGAAAGATATATCAGAGCGCTGCTTCTGAGCGCAAATCCTAGTTCAAGTTCGGCCATTAGGTCGTTAGTGAGGCCAATGAATGATTCTAAAATCAAAACGTTTTATGGACATCCTGTATATTAGCTCATGGTTCATATGTTTGTGCAATTTTGCAATATTAAAAGTGCTTTTTAATAAATATTAAATGTAAATTGAGAAGAGACCCTGGAGAAAAAATGGACATTTGAAAATGTGACTTTATTTAGGAGAAAGATTAGTTTGAACACTAGTAACAATACCAATAAAGCCAAGGAGTCAAAGCATGGCAAATCTAAGTAGTAAAAATAGAAGCCGAATGTAAAATTGCTGATTTTCAAAGAAAGATTTTGAAGAAACCAAAGTGTCTTTATGTCTAAGCAGGAACTCCATATTTCAGCATTTATATGCAGCCAAGCACCACAGCAAGGAAGTCAGTGTTCGATGGTTTCCATAACCCGTTACTACTTCAACCTTGTGACTAGGCAGTGCACAACATTCCAGTACAATGGTTGCAAAGGTAATCAGAACAACTTCGCGAACAAAGAGCAGTGTCAAGACTTCTGTTTGAGTGCAGGTTGGTTTGAAAATATCCACATTAGATCTTATTTCATAAGTTGTTTTTATAGGTTGCGAGGCTGGAGAGATCGTTATCAAGGAGCCTGGAACATCACATCCTCTTTACTGCGATATCGAAATGAAGAACAGCTGCCCTAGCGCTGCGCAGTGTCGTTTCAATAATCTTTTATCGACATCAGTCTGTTGCGGATTTCAAGCAACAGGTATGCCACTTTCTCTGTTTTCCTGAAGAAAAGCTAGTACAAAATGAAAAAGAAAAGCATCTGCAGATGCCTCCACCTTACATTTGGCAAAC